GTTAATCTGAAGGAAGCCACAGATCGAGCTCCCTCGGTGCTGCCATCATCAACCAGCAAGGTCCTACTGTAGTCCTTCTTGTCTATAGAAGTCGCGAGAAACATTTTCTTCTCCTCGCAAGCTTCAGCCATCGGCTTGGAAAGCAACTTACGCTTGGCCGCAAGGGCCCGAGATGACATTCCCTGAGTTGAAGGAGGAGGCGGAATTTGGTGAAGATGACCAGGAGGACTCATCCTGAGTCTATGGTTAGCTTCTAGGAATCGTTCGAGAGTGAAAGAATTCCAAAGGGTTTTCCCTTCAAGAATTATTTTGAAGAATTCGATGAACTCTTCAGATGGGAGAGTGGAAGCGACGAAAGCTGCGAAATGAAACAACGGTGTTAGTCAATAAAGATAAAGAAACAACCGGGAAAGATACGGGCAACCTAATCACTACCGGGTTTCGCGGACCACTTCGAAGGGAGAAAATCTGCAAGATTTCCAATCGAAGCGGGAGTTTTCTTAATCAGAAACCAAGGATGATGCCAATTTTCATCCTTGTTCGGAAGATGAGAAATGATGTTCCTGTTGGCATTGGGATATGCTGAGAAATACCCCGTTTTCTTCGATGAACTTCTTACGCTTAGAAGCTCATTTAGTTCAGTAACTCCGACAACGTAACCGGCCTCCGCCGCGATTGTTATAATTCCAAGAATAGTACGGAGGAGATTGGGGGTTAATTGAGGAAGAGCAATTTCAAGGGCCGCTAGGTATAGAACTAGGGCTTCGGGAAGAGGAAAGGTCAGCCCGCAACCCTTGAAATAAATCTCGTACACACAGAAGTAACCATCGCGATGGTTCTCTGGGGATTCTGTGGGGGAAGCTATTTGTGCTTCCGCTATGATTTCCGGCGGAATCCGGCAAAGCTCTTTCAACCGCTCGAGGGATTGAAGAGTACAAGTGGACCTATAGTGCGGACCGGCAATATCATCGGAGCGGGTGCACTCATCGTTACTAGAACGCCTCTCATCGAAAGACGGAGACTCGGGTCTATCGGAATCAGAAGTCATTGGGAAAAACGAAAAATTCAAGATCCGGCGAAGAAAGGTTTTTATGAAGGAAAGTAGAGAGAGTTTTTGACTAAAGCACAAAAGAAAAAGAAGAGAGTAATGGTGAAAAGAAGTTACCTCAAGCTAATGATGAAACCGCCTCGGAAGTCGTGTGGGAAGTGGGAAGGTTTTTCCCGTTTTAATAGTAATTAAACAATATACGGTCATAATGATGACAGATGTCACTCAGTTAAAAAAGGCTAGTGCCGAAATTAAAGGAGTGATGAGATTTTCGGCGGGAAATCAGAAAGATTCTCGAGCGCAATCTTTGGCTATTTGAGCATTTAAAGTTCTCCGAATTGGAATAGCACTTCGAAGAACTTGGGGGGCTAATTGTTGGTGTCGGATCCCGCACCAGAAGTACGAGACCAACCAAAGATTGCCACGTAGTCAAGATAGTGGCCCGTAAAGAATGAAGCCCATCAGCCGAAGGAATGGTCGAAGTGGTTGTCACCACTTCGAGAATCCGAAGTGATTACATTGCGACATGAGTTCGATGAAGAAGGCATGGGTAAGATGGTTCAAGGATATTTGGGCCGAAAAGGCGAGGCCCACGAAGATCAGAGTCAACTCGAATTCAAACGTTGAGCATTAAAGTCGAAGAATCAAAACGGACACATTTAAGAGGGAATAATTGTACTTAATTATTCATTTTAATGTCAATTCTCTATGTATAAATATAAAGGCCAATGGCCATGTAAAGGGATCTTCCTCTCAAGAGAGAAATAATATAGCAATTTTCGTAGCAATTCACAAGTTTTTATACATTCATTTTTGTCCCTCAAGAATAATCTTTCCTACTTAATAAAATACTTGAGTGTGTGAATCCGACATCCACAGGACCTTCAAGTTCATGAGTGATTCCAGCAGCAGCTTTCTTAGTAGCTGAATCATGGACTATTCCTTCATCAATGTTTGTTACTAAGACTAATTACTCTTAAACTAGAAGAAAACCAAATATACTTGTTCTCGCTACTGACAAATTGGGACATGTAGTGGACAAATGTTGGGTCCTTGATGGATATCCTCTTGCACAAAGTGTAAATACTACTCTCTCCGTTCTTTTATAAGAGATGTTTTAGGAGAATGCACATAGATTAAGAAATCATTTGATTTTTGTTTATTTCTAAAATAAAACATCATTTATAATCTAATCAACCAATAAAAAAATAATCTACAGAATATAAATCGTCAAAACCAATAGAAAAATAATTAATTTTGCATTGAAAATTGAAAACATCATCTATTTAAGAACAAAATTAGAAAATTAAAGCATCACTTATAAAAGAACGGAGGGAGTAAAAATAAAGAAACCTTTATAGCCATGTATAAATAGTGGAATTTGATACGTATAATGATAAGTCAGATCTATTGGGCGGTTTTTTTTTTGTTTTTTGACATATTTAGATCGACAAGGCCCGATCCATAGTCAATCCCTACTACGCGGGGTAACACGATTTAGTGGAGTCGAACTTCGGTAGAGAAGGCGGAGTCAAATGGACTTAACCACTTGACTAATGACACATCCCCTGATCTATTGGACGTTTAAAGCAACAGTAAAAACAATTTTTCCCCAGTTTTCAGTATTAATATGCATATCCTTAAATATATATGTAGCATGTGACACATAAATATCTTAATTAATGATTTTTATTAAACACATTATTATGTCACTTATCAATCATATAAGTCTGTAATGAACACACTGTCTTCTAGGCATATAATATTAATTGCATACTCAAATATAGCATGTCGTAGGTTTCATTTTAAATGATGTTTAAAGATTTTCACACAAATTAAAAAAATCCCAAAAATCTTATTTAATTTATCGATTTTACATAAAAGATCATTAGCTACAACTAATTCAACCAACACTACGAAAAACACGCTGGATTACGTCAGTTAACCAAAGTCATTTCGTAAAACGACGTAAACTTTTGAATTAGAAGCAATTTTACGTCGGTTTACTAAACCGACCAAAATATTTGTTATCAATACTTGTGTTTTCTTCTATCGAAAAATTAAATATTTGTTGATGAATCATGTGAGGGTCCCATTAAAGAAAGGTTTATTACATAAATTTAGCAGAAAATGTTTGTATGGTTTTATTTTTCTTATGCTTAGAGACTTTTATTCACTTCTTCGTAAATGACGTTAAAGTTAAAGAATTTTAGCGTCATAGAATATTAAGTCGGTCTATGAACTGCCGGTATAAGTGTTAAGTCATTTTATAACCGACGTTATGTTCAATATTAGTTGTAGCTAATGAAACATACTGTAAAATATAATTGGTCAAAAATATGAAATATATTTAATTTTTTTTTTTTATAAACCCTATCGGCTATCCGGTCGGCTCCGGTAGGAACGCATCGAGGTGCTACATAGTGGACTGGTCCACCGTGTTAACGGCTAGGCCCTTCAGGCTACCACTCTGCCTATCCCGAGTTTGGAATGCCTTCCGACTAAGTGCCAGGGGTAGTCAGGCCGCCTGCATTTCTGACTACCAGGTAAACTAATTGGACCAAAGTCCAACTGACAGACTTCCCACAATAATATTGATAACAGCATGAGGGAGGAATTGATCCATGGGGAGGAGGGAGTTGCACCCATCCACCTTGGGCCTACCAACCACCAGCCCACCATCATGTGGGCATATATATATTTAATTTTTACATTAAAAGTTGAAAACATTATTTGAAATGAAACAAAAAAATTTCCGAAAACATCATATAAAGTGATACGGATGAAGTATATAGTTTGTGGGGTTTCTTTTAGCAATCATGTGAATATGTGGCTATTATAATGTTAAAGTGAATGGCTATTACAATGTTGAACGGAATTAGTTATGGTAGTTGGTTCGGTGGTTATTGTCAATTTATGTTGGATGCACCTACTACTTGATCGATAAATTCATAATTCAGATTTTAATAGTATATTTCAAAGATAAAAATGTGTTTTGGCTTACAATCTCTTGGTTTACTCGTTAATAGCAGATTTCAAAGATGAGTGTTTTTTTTGGTTTACAATCTCTTGGTTTACTCGTTACTAGTAGATCTCAAGTCTTTTTTACAATCACTTAGTTACTAAAAGAAGACGTTAAAATAAATTTTCTACTCAAGGCAATTAGGTCTTTCAAGAAGGAAAATGTTCAAGAGATGTGGATAACTGTAGGTCACGGCAAAATTAGGTCTTTCATGAATTTGTTTAAAATACTAAAATCTAATGGCATAGCAAAAATGTTTTGAAGCCTAGAAAAATTAGAAGGGTTAGCTTTCTTCTCGAAATGGTTCGAGGTCCATCTCATGGTTCAATCAAAATATATGCAGAGATTTCGTGAGTAAATGGAGCAAGTTCAAGAATAAATGGAGCAAAAATAAACGGAGATATCGATCGGGTCCTCTCTAGGAAAAAAAAATCTTCTCAGAATATTTCAGTGTATGCCGACTCATCTCGATCTTTTACCTAGCTGAACTGAAGTGTTTATATAAGCTTATCTTCGTCCAAAGATGCAACATCACACAACCACAACTCATACAACGTACCACCACATCTTAGACGAATCTCTAGACACTTATTTTAAAGTTTTTAGTTTCTAAGAGATTTGATAGAGAAGATCTCGATTTGTACTATTATAAAATATCTATAAATTAATTTATATTTATAATATTTCATTAATTTATAGTTATATTAATTTATGCTATAAGTAATATTTCTTATTTTATAGCGTAAATTAATATTTATTAGTTTATAAAGAGACTTGTTTCAATTGTCAAAATTTTAGAAAAATATAAATTTGAAACAATTTTATCTTAGTAGAATTAATGTTTTTGATGTTATAAATTTTATAGTTTTAGAGTTGAATTCTAATATATATATATATATATATATATATATATATATATATATATATATATTTTGATAAAAGGTTTGCAATTTTTATAAATAAGTGCCCAATGAGCTATTTCCAGATATAGGCCCATTCAAAATCCCTAAGGCCCAACCCACAAACAACAAACCATTAACAAACCAACCAAAAAACCGAAAACCGGCTCGGATTCACAAACCGAACTAAACCGGTCATGAGAAGAAACCCTAATCTTCTATCAAAGAACTTTATAGAAGCCGCCGTCCAAATCTGCAGATTCTCGCCGGAACAGGACCTCCGGCGAGCCTGGACGACGCAAGCCGAACGAGATGGTGATCCAAGATCCGTTGCCATCCCGCTACCGTAGAGCCGTATTGAGAAGGAGGAAGAGATCCGATCTTGACTTTGTCGAGGAGATCTTTGCTCGGTCATGAGAGAGAGAAACAGTAGGGAGTAGAAAAAGAGACCGTCGACGGTGGCTTAGTTTTGCCGGATCGGAGTCTACCTCCCCCATCGACAAAGATCCCGTTAAACCCATAATCTCCGGTCCCCAAATCTAACTGCTTGCCTCTTTCGTTCCTCACCGTAGATCTCCGTCTTCCACTCCGCATCGCTACAACGCCGGTAGAGCTCTTACCGTCATTGTCGAGCAGAAGCTTCTCTCCTCCACTGCTCCCTTGATTCTGGCCAGATTGATTTGCATGATAGCTGTAGCAGGTTACAGATGAAGAACCATGAGCCTCTGGGTCCTCATCGTCGCCGGAATCGACGGAGAACCCGACCGCGGCGCAAGAGATTGTGATCAGAAGAGGTAGAAAGTTTGAGAGAGAAAAATCGCCGCGAGTGAGATCCACGCGCGCGATTTCCTCTCTAACCTTTCCAAATTACAATACAGAGCTGTTCAATTGAATTTGAATTGAACAATTCAATACCCTGCGTCACAATATAGCCAAACAGGTCCATCTCAGTAGCGACCAAGTATGATGAAATAAACGTATAAACAGTCTCAGTAGTGAACAACTGAGTAAGTGAAAAAAGAGGCTAAAGACCAGAAGTGAGTGAACTAGATTCTCACAGATTTTCTTGCGATTTCTGTAGCAACAAGTGACTTCCCGGTTCCAGGAGGTCCAGTCAAAAGCATGTTTCGGAATGGAGCTCGAGTGTCCTTTGTCTTTGCTGTCGTATGAGCTAAGTTCTTTACCCTCTCCATCAAAGAAGCATCCAGTATAACAGAGTCGAGCATGTCTGAGCGGATATGAGATGATTTGTTCTTCCTGAATCCGTATCCCGAGAAAGGCCAGTTAGTCTGGACCATCGTAGACTCATGAATCATAGACACTTTCTCAGCAGGTTTACCTCCAGACAGGGCTAACTGGCCTTTCTTCTCTGAACCTTTCTTCTCTGAAATCGCTTATTGCTCTAATTCGTTCTCTTCTCTCTGTGATCTCTCTGCGATTAGAAGAGAGTGAAGAGTTTGCGAAGAAGAAGAAGACTCGCAGCATTGTTTTTTTTTTTTCCCTTTTCGTAAAACGTCGCCGTTTTAACAACGCTCTCAGTATGAATGTATCATCATCATCATTAACTATAAACTACAAGAACGATGCACAACGACGCCGTTTTGATGTTAAAAAACATCAAATACAGAGTTTATTCTCAAATTTTTGCTATGCAAAATTATATACTCTTATAAAATAGATCACTAATAATAACTAACTAATGAATAACATTTGTGACTTTTTCGCCAAATTTACAAACAACAAAAAAAAACATAAATCCAAGATAAGTCAAATTGCAATTGCAAACTTCACTTGCTTACACATTTCTATGGTTAGAACATAGAATAAGTTGACTATTTTCTCCTCGATGGATTTTATTATGAACAAGAACTAAGAGAGCTTTATATGCACATAATCAAGTGAACCAAAATTATAGGAACAATGCCGTTTCTGTCACCCAAATATAGGATTAATAAACTCTAGCTACGATGTTACATGAGATGGCCAAATTATAATAAATAATAAATTTTTAAAATTTAAAACTTAAAATAAATAATCGGTTAACATTAAACATTACTCAATCAGTAACATTAAACAAAACCCTTCCTTCAATATTTCCTGTATTTAAAATTTTAATCATGACCAATCATGCATGAATATCTATGTCGGAAAAGACGTACATATTATCTCATCTATTCGATAATTTAGGAAACAAATATATTTTCAACTAAACTTGAGTATTTTTCATATCTTGAAGATTTGAAATTGACTTCTAAACCTAACAATCTCTACAATAAATCGCTCTATATATCTTACATGATTAACATAAGAACTAGGATCGGACCCGCGGTCCACTGCGGGAGAATATTGGTTTACATACGTTGCGTTTAATATTGTGTGTGTTTTTAGTAGAACGAATCATGTAGTATACTTATAAATATTCATAATAACGAATTGTAGAGAAAATGTAAAATTGTTTATAAATATACCCATCGTATTAATTATGATTTACAAAATAGAATTTTGTGTTTTAAAATTCTAAAATTAGACGATTCATGGGAATTAGAGCAGTCAAAAACCGCGGGTCGAGCCCACATCATCTCACTATGGGGCAGATTTGGGAAAATATATTAAACCCGCAAATAAGCGGGCCACATGGATTAATTCGCAGTGGGCCATAGGTTTATTCGGTTTTCATCCGCGGGTTGGCGGATCAGCCCGCATATTAGTATTTATTGATAAAATTATAACTTATTCAACATGTGGTAATTTAAACAAACTTTTAATAGTATTTTGATTTATTTATTTATTTTAGTAGTATTTTAAATTTTGGTTACTTTAAAATTATTTAAACAAAATCCATGGACAATCCCGCAAATCCGCATACATTCGCGGGACGGATTTGTATTTCATATATGCTACATGCGGGTCGTGCGGACCGACTAACCACAAGTCAAAATATTTTTTGTCTATCGCAAAACGTACTTAACGGGACGAATCAACTCGCTTTGACAGTTCTAATGGGAATATTATTTAGTCATACAATAAAATGAAGTTTGGACATAGTAATAATAGAATATGTATCTTATTTGTTAGATGAGAGATTGAAAGATGAAGTATAATGATTAAAAATTAATTGTTATTTTCATGATTCACAAAATTTAATAAATACTTATCATCTGGTTGAATAATTATAAAATCATATTCAAGAAATCTTTATAAATTGAAAATTAAACTTCTTTGGTAAGCTATAGGTATGAAAATATCATAATTTCGATTTAATCTAATTAAATTAAAATTAGTTACATGGATTTCATATCTATTTAATTTACACGACCAAAATAAAAAATCTATTTAATTTACACGACCAAAATAAAAATATCAATTTAATTTATAAAATAGATGGGTTATTTGTGAAAATTTTTCTAGAAATCTTTAAAAGCAAGTAAAATATCTTTCAATTAATGATAATTGGCTAAAATGAGCGAAATTAATGACAAAAACGTTGATTGTTATGGAATTAGTCCCAAAAATATAAGAACAAATTTATTATACGTAATTAATGTATAATATTGTTTGGAATATGCTTTTATTATTAGTTACCATAAGTACAATCAGATTTTATTTGATTTCCATAAATATTTGATTTTATTTCGATTTTTCTTTATTAATTCGAATTTATATTCCAAAAAAATTTCAAAGATCCGATTTCAGAATTTCGGATCAATTTTCTGATTTTAACCCGACCCATTTTCATTTGTACTTCTCTTTTAATAGTATAGAGATTTTTATCCACTACGGGTCGCAGGTTCATGCGGATAAGCCCGTAGAAAGTTGCGGGTTTTCGTGTCGACCCGCCAAAAGAGAAGCTATCTTTTGAAACCTTTTGTTTTATTTAGAGGTTTTGAAAAAATATCCCTAAAAAATAATTTTCATTATATGAAAAAGAAAAGAAGTTGAAGAAATTGTAATATCAACATTCCCGATTTTTACATCACTCGTTACTATTAATTTTTTTTTTTTTTTGCAGACAAAAATCAGAAGTTAACTAAGTCGAGATTTTTAAAAAGATTGTGTAGAGATTTTTGGTAAATTGTTGAGAACATATTTGATTTCAAAATCTTTACTTAAATAGATAAGGAAAGATTTTGTATAGACTTTTGCTAAATATATGAGAAATGAATTTCATTTAAAAATCTTTACTTAAATAAAACAAATCTAAATAATTAATGCTAATGGCATGCCATTGTAAATACTTCTCAACTTCAGGATTTATTTGCTAATTATGATCCAAAAATGTATATATAGATTCGTCTACAAACATAACTCTCTTCATAATCGTACGTTTATTTTTATTTCAGTTTAAATATATCTATATATAACAATATTTGAGAAGTGTTTTTGCTGACGTGTCGGACTCTCGGCTCTTGTTGAGTCCTTGATTTTACGTAATTACTTAATTACCCTTAATGAAATCTAATTATTTTTGAAAAAATTAAATTGAATTTCGGAATTAACCAGGAAAAAATAATTTTGGAAACAATAAACATGATAATTAACCAAAAAAAAAAAAGGAACAACGAAGTACCATTTAGGAAGCTTTAATTGAATTCATCGTGTTCTTCGTCGTGTGAATATAAAAAAAAAAAATCGGAAAAGGAAAATATTTATTATAATATTGATATATTTAAGATGATAATGTCAAATATCCGAAAATTATTAATCGGAGCACTAATATAAACATAAAAGAATACTATTCTAACCTTACTCAAATTAATAAGATTTAGATATCCGAAATATATATAACAATATTTGAGAAGTGTTTTTGCTGACGTGTCGGACTCTCGGCTCTTGTTGAGTCCTTCATTTTACGTAATTACTTAATTACCCTTAATGAAATCTAATTAATTTTGAAAAAATTAAATTGAATTTCGGAATTAACCAGGAAAAAATAATATTGGAAACAATAAACATGATAATTAACCAAAAAAAAAAAGGAACAACGAAGTACCATTTAGGAAGCTTTAATTGAATTCATCGTGTCCTTCGTCGTGTGAATATAAAAAAAAAAAATCGGAAAAGGAAAATATTTATTATAATATTGATATATTTAAGATGATAATGTCAAATATCCGAAAATTATTAATCGGAGCACTAATATAAACATAAAAGAATACTATTCTAACCTTACTCAAATTAATAAGATTTAGATATCCGAAATTAATCGTAAACGGCTATTAATTGTTAAACTAATTAAAATAAAGATCAAACATACCGGAATAGATGAAATTTTTGGTATGATCGTTGTGTTCGTCGTCGTTTCAATCTAAATATTTGGAAAAAAAAACGAACAAAAAAAATAATATGTAGATCAATGAAAGAGAACCCACCAATTTAGAAACGGTTATCACGCCATCGTATTGTTTGTCGGATGATTATAAGTCTCTAATCCGGAGATTGACTTGAACCCTGACAAAAACATATATTCATAGCATAAAATCGTAAATAAAAGGTAGAAGACCACCTATTAATCGGTTGTAACCTTGTGCAAACTCGATTTAATTTTGACGAATGAAATGTTGGTGTGGTGTCAAAACTTTCTTGGGGAGACTCGAAGATGAGAGAGCTGAAGTCAGAGATAGGCAGAGAGGTTTACATGTGAATTAAGGTATGGAGTGCTAACGTGAACATGAACTGGAACGGCGGTGATTTTTGCACATAATAGCAATTAGATCGAGTTTTGGAAAAAAATATGGATCAGCTTGACATGACGCATATGGATACCATGCATGTCTATCTATTGTAAATCAAAAATTATATTATTGTTCCGCCTTATTTTTGAAACAGAAAGAAATTTTTCCTTAAATTTTAATATATTTTATAAGATAGTATCAGATATAGTAGTAAATCTAAAATAGTTGTTATTATTCCATATTTTTACGGAAAAAAAGTAAATATTATTTTAAATAAACATGGATAACAATGAATAAATGGCAGTTTTACAAATATTTATTATTATGATAGTGATTTGCTTATTAAAATATGTAAATTTTCTTTTCTTTTTTTGTATTTATCGTCGAAAAATTTAGAAACCCTAAATCATGCACCGCCTCCTATTCAATATAAATACCTTGCTCATGGTATTTAATTTCAGATCATAACTAACCCTTGTTTTTTTTGTTCTTTTTTTTCGAACTTTTTTTTGCTTCTACCTAATTTTAATTTTTCTTTTTATTGTAGGGTGGATGTATGGAGGGGACGATGTGAACTGGTGTATGGAAAATTTGGACCTAATTCAATGAATAAACAGGTGATCTTATAGTTTATTTGTACAAATTTGATTTTTTTTTTTTTGTATTTATGGTTTCACTATTTTCACCACTAATCAATTTTTATAATCAAAAAGTTTGGTTTCAACTTTTGAGAAGGTAATCATCGATGGTTTGGTATGTTTCTTTTTGTTGTAAAAAGATGAGGTACCTCCCGATTTTGTTGAGGTACATGTTCTTATTATTTTCAAATATGTCTTTTTTCAGAAGAAACACTCAACTTTTGATAACACAGTTGCCACAAAGTCAGAAAGATGACTTATTTCAGGGATGAATCTTCAGAGGAGGCTAATTTTTGTCGTTAATACAATTTAAGTATTCTTCTCTTTAGATTAGGGATAACAAACTTGGCTGCTAAATTCAGGAATTACTCTTCGTTGCCAATCTCTCTCCCCAAACTA